TCGGGGTACGGAGGTACGGTGAGTAAGGTCAGAGAAGGCACCTCTCTTGAGAAAGAAGACGGCATTGAGAAGTTTCTTATGGAGGTTATTTGAAGAATCTCCACAAACATGGCGCACAAAACTACAGAACCTTGAAGACACGTGAAATAAATCAGATAGAGAAAAAAATCAAACTCCTAAAAACAGATCGGTGTTACCAGACATGAGGGGCTGGGCTGGGGGAAATGAGTGAAGGCGATCAAAAGATACAAACTTCCAGTTATAAGATAAGCAATTCAGGAATCTAATGTATAGCATGGTGACAATAGTTAACAATACTGTATTGTATATTTGAAAGTTGCTAAGAGAGTGAATCTTAATAGTTCTCATAATTTTAAAAATATGTAAATATATAAATGCATGTATATACATGTATGCATATATATATATGTTGTACACCTAAAATTAATACAACATTACATAGCAATTGCATTTCAATAAAACTACAGGGAAAGAAATCAAAACAAACAAAAGAGTTTGCATTTGGACACTGAATATGATAGAGAAAAGCCATTTCCAGATTCTGAAAACATTTGTTATGTGAAAAAATTGCCTCTCAAATTGGTAAGACACAAAACAATATATAGAAGACAAAGATATATAGCAAAGTTGTAAAGGAACGCCTGAGTATTATGAACTCCTAATTCTGAGCAATAGAGATCTCTGCCAGCAGCAAAGGGAATGGTAATTCCCAGACTGCTTTTGTTATATAGATCCCTCCCTATTGCAACTGCAAAATTACAGAGCTCATTAGGAAGAAAAAGAAAATTTGACCTGACCTGACATGAGAATTCAAAGTCTAAAGTTATCTCATTTAGGCTAAATAGTCAAAAATTTAGGTTGTAGAAATATTAATGTATTTAACTAGAGTTATGGTCCCAGACCTCACAGGAATTCTTACATAATATATGGATTGTGCACAATATTAGGTTTTTCAAAATTTGAACTATTCTGAAATTTAAAACATAACGGGTTTTAAATAAGAGCTATGATAATGATATATTTCTTAGGCTGGGTAACTGGGACATAAATGTTGTAATTTTCTTCATGCCTTTTTTATTATATAATAAATGGCTAAAACATTACAATATTGCCAATTTACCTGGAGTCTCTTGACCTCCCTCCATCCCTGCCTTGGAGAAAGCAGGACAAACAACTGTTAAGGGTACAGCGGATCGAGCTTTCGTCCCTGCTGCCCCGCTACCGCCACCACCACCCCAGGTTCCCAAGGCTCCAGGTTATGTCAAGCTGAGAAGAGAGACTCTTTGAACTGGATGTGAACTGGAATTTTCATGCCCTTAATAGTGAATGAAGAGTTAAGGCTTCTACAAGAGATTTTGTCCAGGGGTAAGGGAAAATTATCAGAGAATGTCCATAGGCAGTGATGGGAAAAAAATAAAACTGACTCCTGATTATTCCTCCACTAACTTCAGCCTATTCGATAAAATGGTTGCTCAGAGTCCAAAACAAATGCATGTTTTGTTAATCTTGTCAATAGTCTCAGTGTTATGGCTGATTTCATTATTGTGTTATGATCGTAAAATGCAATCATCATAAAATTATGGACTTCAGAAACTGATTTCTGTAGACAGTATTGTGGTCATGGCTTTTCTCTCTCCAGCCAAGTGAATAAAATGCACTTGCTTCATTAATTCTCTAAATTCACTTCTCCTGTACCTTTGCTAATTGATTAAGAAAATATTTCTGACACAGTCAGAATATAGAATCTTTCTAGAAAATAACATGTATTTATTCTTATCCATATTGATTAATTCGGCTGGAAGACACCCACATAGCAAGACAGCTGTGGGGTAAGGCGATGACCTCTAGGGCACTGGCCCCCAAATCTGACTGGGTATGACAATCACTGAATGTGTTAAATTAATATATAGATATAGTGACACATATATATGTGGTGAATTCTAATTCACTAGGTTTGTAATGGGGCCTAAGGATCTATATTTTTTAAAACCTCTCCAGATGTGTCCTACATGCAGCCAGGTTTAACAACTGGTACTCTGAAGTTCTCATGTGTTTTCACAGTGACCTTGACGTAGCAGGCCAAGAAAAGGAAAACAATGTTTTATTCACTGAGCTGATTCATTCTTGTTCACTCAGCTAAGGCTTTCAGCACAGATTCTATGTATGTTGTCACTTTGCTTGATGAAATTCTTAAGATACCAGGCAATCAATAAAAATTAAATGAATTCTTCCTCTAAGGTTTTTTTCTCCCTCATTATTATTAGCAACACATGTGGTGGAGCTATCCCACATGCAGGCAACCTTAAGCTAACACATACCACTTTGTGTTCAGAAAAAGCAGTCCATCTAGGCCTCTTAAAATACATTATAAAATAAACCATACACATTTTGCTGGTAGAAAGTAAAAATGCCAGTTTGTATAAAGATGAAACACTACATGGAAAAATTGCATGCTGTGCCCCAGCTACCTGTGTCTTATAAAAATCAGCAAATGCCCTCACAATTCTGTGACTTCTTATCTGCCATTCCTCCTGTTTGGAAATTTTCTCTTCATTTTCTTTGTCCAATGCACCTTATTTTTTAAAAACTCTTAGGACTAGACATAAATGTTAAGTCTTTGTGACTGAGATTAGACAATGATTTCTTAGATATGACATCTCAAACACAAGCAATGAAAGAAATAGGTAAATGTAACTTTATCAAAATTAAGATCTTTTTGTGCTTCAAAGGACACTATCTAGAAAGTGAAAAGACAACACACAGAAGGAGAGAAACATTGCAAATCATATTTCTGATAAAGTTCTAGTAACCAGAATATATAGAGAATTATTACAACTCAACAATTTAAAGACAAATAATCCAATTTAAAAATTGGCAAAGACTCTGAATAGATATTTCTCCAATGAAGATATAAAATGGACCATAAGCACATGAAAAGTTCAACATCCTATTCCTAATGGAAAATGCAAATCAAAACTACCACAAAGTACCACTCATACCCAATAAGATGCTATAATCAAAAAATGAAAAATAACAAGTGGCGGTAAGAATGAGGAGAAATTGGAACACTCACACAGTGCCAGTAGGTTTGAAAAATGTACACCCACTTTGGAAAACAATTTGATAATTCCTTAAAAAGTAGAACATAAAGTTAGCATATGACCCAGGACTTCTGCTCATAGGTATAGATAAATAACCAAGAGAATTGAAAATAAATGTGCACACAAACACTTGCACATGAATGTTCTCAGCAGCAATATTCATAATAGCAAACAAGTAAACAGCCCAAATGTCCATCAGTTGATGAATGAATTTTTTTAATAAATGCAATATTATTCAGACATTTTAAAAAATCACTAAAACATACTACACCATGAATAAAACTTGAAAACATCCTAAGTGAAAGAAGCCTGACACAAAAGGACACAAACATATTAAATGATTCCATTGCTGGTTCACAACCTCCAGGGCGTCCCAGGTGAAATCTGAAAATGGCCCCAAATCACATAGTGCAAAGAGAAACTGAAAAAAGAGGCAGACCATTCCACATTGGTAGTGGCAGGTTTAATAAAGGAACTTACTTACAGGGCTTGTCTTGCGCGCTGCAAGCTGAGTAGATCTCTGTATCTACCTGCCAGAATCTTAAAAGTTTATATAGAGGACTTAATTGAGTCCAGTCACGTATGCAGTACAGATGGTCTCAACAACACATTACTATCTCTGTCCACAGGGCTGCTTCTAGAGAGGGGAAGACAAGCAGAACACACATTCCAAGGGCAGGGGAGGGGGTGAGGAATCTTGGATTGCCTGGGTCCAGCTGGCACGTCCTCCCGATGACCTTCTCCAACATCCATGTATCTGAAATACGCAGGGTATGTAAATCCATGGAGACAGAAAGTAGACTAATGGTTGACAGGGTTTGACAGGAGTAGGGAGTGGAGACTGTCTACTGACAGGTAGAAGGTTTCTTTTGGATTGAAGAAAATAAACTGGAATTAGATAGCAGTGATGGCTGTACAACAGTTTGAACAATCTAAAAACACTGAATTATATGCTTAAAAAGAGTAGATTTATGGCATATTAATTATATCCTAGCTCTAAAAAGTAAGATAAAAATTAATTTAATTTCTGCAACATTTTTCAGACATGGTTACTAGCCAGTTCTGTAATTCCCCTTGCTACTCTTTGTATATCTCATGAAAAAGTTGAACTGCTGTCATTTTCATATGATTTTTCTTTGAAGCCATGTAAGATAACACTTGTACATGTAATTGGGGAATTCCTTTCAATGAGTATAAATGACTCTAGGAACAGACAAAGCCTGGGACAGAAAACCGAAATCTGTAAAGCACATTTGGGATGAAAAGAAATGAAATTCCTATTTCTTTCACAAATGTCTTGTTGCTCTCTTGGCCTGATACTTCATGAAGTCCAGGAAGGTCTGAAGACACTCCCAGGCATGGAAGAAAGAGCTAACCGACTGTGGAGGGCTAAGTCGGTTGTCTAGGGTCAGTGTCCTCTTTATAAGGTCCTGTTTTTGGCAATAAATCTATAGTTTTGTCCTGATTTATTTGCTCTTCCATTTTGTTACACATTGCATTTTTTTTCTGCATTCCTAATATCAAACGCATGGCAAGAAATCAATAAATATTAGTGGAATAACTGACTAAATTACTGAAGTGGAGATAATACTTTTATAAATATATTAAGTTGCTTTTCTTTGACTTTTTCTGGTCTGTAACATCCCCCTTGTTATGCCAGAGACCCAGGAAGATGATGATTATCACAGTGGGAATCTGAAGGGAAAAAAGTAGGTTTCCATTTTTGACATATAGAATAAGATTATTTTTAAACTCAGGATATGTTACAAGGGAAAGCATTTGCCACAATGAAAGGGTGCTAGCGCAGCCTTCCAAACCAGGAGACACAGAAAAGAGAAAGGGAAATGACAAAAGAATTGTAATCAACTACAAACCCCCATGGGGTTTATCCTGCAGGCAGTAGAGAAGATTATGGTAAGAGCACTGAAACAAGTGTGGGGAAATCGGGAACAGTGGCTGAGTTCTCTGGGTATAGTTTGGGGTAGCTTCAAGCCTTCAGAGGAAGCACTGTATGCGGTTTGTTGTCCATCCCAATGCAGAAGTGGAGAATGGGGCCAACTTAGATCGCTGAGAAAATGTTCTGGTTCCCCATGGCCAGCAATGGATCCAGATGTTCCCATAAGCCCCAGCGCAGGGACAAAAGGGTGCTAAGAGGGCAGTGGAAGGTGGGCAAAGATGTTTCCATAATAAGAATCAAATGACTGAGAACCATGAGCTTCATTCAGTAGCTGGTGTCCAAGTAATACCTGCAAAGGCCAGAGGGTAACAGTGGAACTCAGGAAGACTTTTGAAGAGGAACAAGGACAGACCTGCCTGTGTCGTGAAGGTGGCCTAAGGGCTCCTGCACACAACTCAGAGGCTCCCTGTCCCAGACACCTAAGGTCATGTAAGTCCCTTCTCCACCCTCCTTAAAATCCAGATGATTTACTGGTGAGAAGCAGGGAGAGGAGGAAGAATTCTGAAAGGTTGAATATTTATCTGAAAGAATCAGAGTTACTTAAAAAGACGAAATCAGAAGAACCAAAGCAACATCATTTGATAAATTTAAATTTTCTTTCTTTATCCAACAGAGTTGAGTCTCTTTTAGAGTTGAATTTATTCAACTATTAAAAAATAAGACATTTTATAAAAATCATAGCAGTGCCAGGGTGCAACTCACCCTAAGGAAAGGAAGACGAGGAAGCGGAGATCCTGATTTCTATTCCCAAATCAAACAAAACAAGCGGCACAACCCTGGTCAAGAGAGTATTGTGTACCTCCAGGTACTTAGTGACTCTTTATTATTCATGAAATGAGCTACTATAAGGAGGTAGGATAAGGAAATCTGTAAAGAAACAAGTAATTCTGATATCCTAAGATTTATGTAAACACACAAGTTAAGGAAATACCATTTTTTCTGAAGACCATTTGTGAGAGACGCCATTGCTTGTTTGTATGGCAGGAGAATGACACTCTTTTTCTGATTTACACATAGGTTAAGACTCAAATCTCAACTTCATTATAATGCTACCTAATTGAATTAATTATTTGGTTACCTAGACTAAGAGGTTTATTTACCATCCTTCGTCTATTAAAGAAATTCAGCAACATTTGATCTCAATAATAGCCTCCAGTCCAATCACCGTGAGAAATATAGCAAACTCTAGAGAGTTTCCTAGATAGAACATTTAAATAATACAGTGATTATCTACATGCTACACAAGTAACATCAATGAATTGTTTTAATACATCTCTAGAAAATGCTTCCTATATAATGAACAGCACTTTGGATCAAAAATGTGATTGCACCTCATGTTAATTTCCAAATTTTCTCCCAAAAACTGTTGATCATTGCTCACCACAATATCTAAATGAGCTTAAAGAGAGAGAAACAAGAATGGCGAGAGCGAGAGAGAGAGAATATGAACTCATTCTAGAAAGTTTTTGCCACTTGTGAAACATATTGAAGTAGAGATCCACAGAAACACATTCAGAGGCATAAAGGAAAAAATTCTACATGGGAGGTGAAATGAGAGCACACACCTTTCATAAGCATGCCACTAACCACCTTCTCCGCTTCAGGGTATGGCAGTATGCCTTTAGGACTTCTCTCCCTCAGAATCAAATGAGCACCAGCATTGGAAAATAGAAAAGATTACAGTAGCTGAGGAAAGAGGAGAGCACCCAGTCGACAATCATCTATTGTCCAAGAAGTAATTTGAAAAGTAATCAGACATAAAGCCCAGTAGATGGAAAAGCTGTGATGTTATTGATTAAATTTAATTATAATTTAATGTAGGTTATTGAGGAAGCAGAGCTTTAGTCTTACAATATGTTATGTTGTAGCATCAAGCTGGTGTGCAAGTTTAAAACTGTGTGTGTGAGACAGGAAGAGAGAGGGAAAGACAGAGACAGGGAAGGAGGGATGGGGAGAAGGCAGAGACTGTGTGGTCATTCAAAACTGTTGTAGCTGGACTCTCTAGGCAAACATAACATTACTTACCTAAATTTTACTGCTAGCTAACTCCAATATAAAGAAATTGTAACAGCACTTTACAGGAAACACAAGCTCTCTCCAAATATCATATTTTACAAAGTCTTTACTTAGCATTTATCTTATGTTTCTTTTGAGGAATTCAGGATATAATTAGCAATGCCTGAAAACTTACATAATTATCAAAAGATCTTGCACTTTTGTTTTTAGTGCCTTTTAAACCCGGCTTTCATTCCCTTAAAATAACTACAGTAGTATTGTTTTATATACTTGTTACAAAAATAATCATGTGTCCTCATCTGCTCGAGCTGCCATAACAAAACTATAGACTGGATCGCTTAAACGATAGAAATTTATTTTGTTTCCAGCTCATCAGGCTGGAAAGTCCAGGATCAAGGTCCCTCAGGTTTTAGTTTCTGGTGGGGGCTCTCTGCTGCTTTGCAAACAGCCGCCCCCTCATTCTGTCCTCACAGAGTGGAAAGGGAAAGCAAGCCCCCCAGTGTCTCTTCTTACCAGAACACTAACCCTATCAGGGCAGGGTACTACCTTTATGACCTTATTTAACCCTAATTACTTCCTTAGAGGTCTGTCTCCAAATACAGTCGCACTGGGGATTAAGGCTTCAACATATAAATTTGGGGAAACACAAATACCATTTTATTTACTGAAGAAAATTTAGTAAGTTCCAATAAGCAAAAAGATAAAAAAGCTTAACCATAATCAGCACCCAGTGATGCCCACTGTCAACTGTCTAGTATATTTACTTTCAGGTTTCTCTTTAACCTATACACATGTAAAAACATTTTTGATAGTATTATATCAAAGCTAATGTTTTCAAATGCTTATTTCATGTAATGATATTAAGAAAATTCAGCAAGGGAAACAATAGAGACATGGCCTAAGGCACAGGTACTAATGGAAGGAAATCAGTAGCCATTACAAAGACTTGAGCACATCATTTACACTTTCAAGGTGAAATAATAAGATTTCTTAGAAAGCCCATCAGTAGCTAAAATTGCCTTCCCTGATCACTCTGTCAGTCTGCTCAAGGGCAAACTGCTTTTAGCCATTCCCCCAACAGGAGAAAGAGTTTTGTCCCACAGATCAACTGTGATTCTAATTTTCACCCAAAATACAAAACCAATTTAATAGGGAAAAAAAAGATAATTATATTAGTCAGGGTTCATGCAGAGAAGAAGAACCAGAACAAGAAATTGGTTTGTGTAATTGTGGGGGCTAGATAAGCAACCCTGAATCCATAGGCAGATGTGAAGGAAAGATCACACACAGTCCAGAACCCCAGGAGCATGAGTAGGAACCCTGCTAGCATGGACTGAAGCCAGTGTTCATTCTTGTCGCCTCTGACCTTGGTGATGAGAGTACCTTATAAAAACCAGAGCCCTTCATCATGGAGCTGAATACGTACACTTGGCCCAGGAGTCAGAGAAACTTAAGAAATACAGGAGGGAGGGACAACAATTGCAGCCCTAGCTGCTGCTTCACACCAAGGTAAATCAGCAGCTCAGCAATGCAAGGTGATTGTGAGGGTCTCAGAATGCAGAAACATTCTACAGTTTTCTTCCCCCTCTGTATTCTGGGGCCCCTGACTCTCCTGTGAAGGGCCTTAAAGTCCCTCTTTAAAAGGTTTCCAGTTGTTTATGTCAAGCCCACCCAAAATATTCTCCTTTTTTATTAACTCAAAATAAATTGATTATGAATTTTAATTATATCTACAAAATCTTTTTACATCTACACCTAGATTAGTCTCTCATTTGAATAAATAGGAGAAAGTTTGTATATGCTCACATTTTATACAAAAATTGGCTCAAAATGGGTCATGGATCTAAAATGAGATAGGAAAATATAAAAGTTTTGGAGAAAATCTTTGTGACTTAGAGTTAGGCAAAGTGTTCTTCCATAGCACCAGGAGCATAATCCATAAAAGAAAAATTTGGTAAGTTGGACTTCATAAAAAATAAAAACTTTTGTGCTTTAATAGGCCTGTTAATAGGATGAAAACAAGCTACAGACTGGGAGAAAATATTTCCAAATCACATATCTGACAACGGATTTGTATTCTGACTATATGAATAATTCCCAAAACACAACAGTATAAAAACAAAAAACTCAATCTGAAAAACTAGCAAAGAAATTGGACACCTTACCATTAAAAAAAATCTGAAGATAAACACATTAAAAGTTGTTTAAGATCATTTGCGATTAGGGGAATACAAATTAAAATCATGAGGAGACACTATAACGCATTTACTACAATGGCTAAATTTGACAAATGTTAAGAGCTAGTGAGAAAATAGAGCAACTGGAACTCTCAAATAAAGTTACTGTGAGATCAAAATGGTACAACCATCCTGGCAGTTTCTTATAAAGTGAAATATACTTTTAATTTATAACCCACAATCCCATCCATACATATTTATCCTAAGAGTTATTAGTTTCCTAGGATTGCCATAACAAAATACAACAGAATGGATGGCTTAAACAACATAATTTATTTTCTCTCAGTTCACAGGTTAGAAGTATGAGATCAGAGTGTTGGCAGAGTTTGTTTTATCAGAAACTTCTTTTCATGGCTTATAGATCACCATCTTCTTCCTGTGTCTTCACATGGTCTTCCCACTATAACTGTCTGTACCCAAAATTCCTACTATTAAAAGGATACCAGTCATATGAAATTAGAGCCCACCTTAACAATGTCATTATTACCTCTATAAAGACCCTATCTTCAAATACAGTCACATTCTGAGGTACTGGGGGTTAGGACTTTGATATATAAATTTGGAAAACATAATTCGGCCCATAAGACTTTACCTTTTGGCCCCCCCAAAATTCATGTTTGTGTCACATGCAAAATGCATTCACCCTATTCTAAGAGCCTCCAAAGTCTTGACTTATTTTAACATCAACTCTAATTCAAAAATCT